GAAGCCATAAATAGAAGTCACATTTTCCCTTAGCTCTTGTTGTAGAGAAAAGGAAAATCAAAAACAATTTTCAGGGGTTCTTCTTTCTTTTTCAATATCTCTCTTTCCAATACCTGGTTTCTGAGTCCTAAGATAACTATATTTTGCCCATCATTAATGATAAACTACCTAAATTCATGTATTCAATCATGTATGCACGTTCTTTATGGGGTAAGTTTCTCTGCCGTATTTATTGGAAAAAACCTTGCACCATTCACAATGCTTACCTACCATATAGTAAGCACTCAATAAACATTAATTGAATAAAAACCAGTTAAATGTCTGTTGGCATGACATCACAACTTTAAAGAAAATATTATAATCTGCCAGTTAATTCACAAACATAAATGACTAATATCAGAATGTTTACAATTTTGCCATAGGTAATAGGACTAAGATGCCTAGAGGGCCTGAAGTAGAAAAAGGCACAGATCCACAAAAGGACAGCTGGGAACACAGAAAACAAACAAAACTCTTCAGAGACTTCACAACTTTGTCAAGGGAAGGTTCTGTTTACCATCAGCTGGGAGGGGACAAACAGCAGCTTTGTGAAAATATGTTTGTTATGTTTACTGCCAAGATGCAAAGTTCAGTTCCAGGAATTTGTGGTGATTTATTGTATGTTTTAAACAATCTATACAGAATTCTTTTTTTGTTTCAAAAGATCATTTTTATCATCTTGGCCATATTTCCTTCCTAATAACAGATCATTAAGTCTGTTTGAAAGTGAGGGAACAGAAAATTGACCTTGGTTTCAAACTTTGAAAAAAAATTGTTTAAGCAACCTATGCTTTGAAATATCACAATACTTTATGGGAAATTAATATTAGAACACAGAAACCCAGATCAAATTATAAATCTGCTTTTCTAGGAAGTCTCATCAATTTTCTAGAGGCGAACTTATAAATTCAGATTCTATTAAACAATTGGCTCTCCTGAAAATATGGGGTATTCATTGCTTTTTGATTGTGTTCATCTCAGAAGCATTGATAAAATATCCCCCTTTTGCCAAGCATATATCAATATTTATTTTGGCTAACCAGCTGGTATTTAATAATTCAACACTACTTTATTACTTTTCCCTGGTTTATCTATCGCAGCGAAGATGTAATTGATTTTCCATAACTAAGCCCCTAACCCTTTTTATCATTTCTACTCTGCCATCTTAGACATATTAGAATAATGAGTGGTCAATGGTAAGAAGGGGAGTAGGAAGGAAGAAAAAGAACATAAACAGGACAGATGTTGCAAAAATTAGGGTAGTAGCCTAAGGTCTATCACAGGAGTTCCAAATTCTGGTCTACCATGGAGTGACCTGGGAATCAATTTATTCATCTATAAAATGCATGTGCTGGATTCAGTTATAGCTAAGATTCCCACTGGTTCTGAAGCACTGCATGCTACTATCTGTGGGATAACACCGCTTTTCTGTTCACTTGAAGCTCCTCATTTAAAAACAATAAGGTATCACTCCTTCATTCATCCAAATGTGAGTGATTATGAGCATCATTTCTAGCTGCAGCCTGGGAAGTGCACAAGTCCTAACAATGCCTTAAAACTGGCATGATCTGTGTCCAGGAGGGAAAAATGGGCTGCAACACATACTCACAAGGCCTGCACCACAGGCTGAAAAAATTAGGCCTCCATATGTCTAAATTTTTGAACAGCCTGGCTGACTTTTGACCTGACTTAGCATTATTTGAAGCAGCATACTGACACTGCCAATAACATCATTCATAATAGGGCACACATCTTATAACTGAACCACAGATAGTGCTGAGCAACATAAAGAATCCAGGCAATACATATGTACAATGTAAACTGCTAAAACAGAATAGCTACTGAAGGATCTGCTAGTACGTACACTGATTGCTTCTCTGAGGTTGAAGAGCCAGGTTTTAGGATTCTTCAATGGCTGCAGCCATGGTCTCGTTTTAAAAAGCCTCAATCATTTCTCAAGACATCACATGTAACAAAAGGCTGCATCTATTTCTGTCAATACAGAGCTAGCCTAATAGTAGTAGATATGTTTAGGGCATAGAAATAAAGTATGCCTTCCTGAGGTTGGATAAAAGAGAAAAACAGCCTTTGAGAATTAGTAGGTACCACTCTAATCTGAAGCTTGTACTGTCCTTTTCAATCCTAGCAAAGAAACAATTAATAAAGGAACCCATTAAGACCTGATTATTGCAGCTAAAAAAGGAAGGTAGAATTTCAGTCCTTTGAAGTAACTGAGAATGATTCAGGCCTCATTACAGAGATATAATCTACATTCATACATTTATGTTAGCGATTCAAATCTATTGGGAGAGATTGAATTCCGTTAAATAGTGCATCTTTCCTGTGGAACTTTTCTCAGGCTTTCTCGGGCTAACCTAAGAGGTGACCTAACAATGCAAAGTAGTGGGGTATTTAGGGATTCAGCTGTGCTGTAAAAGAAAGGCTGTACAGAAAAGAAAAAGAAGAATGAGATATAATCTAAAAAGCTATGTCAGCTTTTCCTTTGGGCTGTTTTGTAAATGCCCTCTTGTCATCACGCTGTACAGAAGAGTGGCGAAGGGGCTCTAGAACTTTCAAACACTGCACCTGCTGCAACCAGATTTTAATATGAAAGTTTAAAGACATGTTTTCCCTCATTTTAGACAGAAAAAAAGAGAAACTCCTAGCTAAAAGATCTGAATTGCTTCTTCTACTGGAACATAAAGTTGGTAGATTGTGTGTGTGAGAGAGGGAGAAAGAGACTCGCTTTGGATTGGAGGGGCACATGTCTAGGGTGAGTTTAACAAAAATTTTTAAACCCCAAGGTGGCATCAATAGTGTTGGTTCCTATTGTAGAGAAACCCCAAAATAATAACTTCCTGTGTTTTGTAACTTTTCACAGCAGAATCTTTATTGTTTGGTTTCACCAAACATAATTTTTTAAAAATATAGTTTTAATTAGTTGTAAATTCAAACATTTGGATTCTTCTGGACCATTGGCCTGAAATGCAAATCCACGGGAAACACTACACTGTCTTTCAGGTGTTTGTCCTCTCAGGTATAAAACTGTGAACTAAAACATTGAAATTAGCACTGTTGGTTAATTTTTCAGTATCCTAAAGAAAAAGACTTGTTTGATGGATGCTCTTTATTTGCTTAACTTTCCAATTAATATCTACAGAAATTACAGCTAATTATATTAAACTTAAGAACCCTATTGTAATGTTCACCACATTGTTGAACTCTTCTAAATAAGCATGGCATGAATTATAACTAATGCAAGTAAAATCCTGATTCTAGTATTAAATGATTCTATTTCAAAGGATTTGAATGAACAGAAAAATATAAGAACATTCATGTAAACTCATTTTTCAAGTCACTAAATACTTAATTGAGCAATCATTCCTAATGCTCATCTCTAGAGCTATTTTTTTTATTTCTTTGCATTTCTCTGGTTCACCACCAACATGGAGGTCAAACACACATTATAGGGATCCTGGCTTGTGTGAACACAGACTCTTCTAATTAGTTCCCTCCAAATTACAGTTGCTGTTGTTAAACTCCCAGTTCACCTTGAAGTGTTTCTCTATCTTACACTGGCAGCCTAACTTTAGTTTGAAACATATGAAATTACCATTTTTGTAGGTACAAAACCTTAAAATGTTGGCAATTTCATGGGCTTCAACAAAATACAAATGTCTAACTGTACTATGTGACATAGATACTTCATTCCAGTACATGTTTAGGCATTCCTTCTAGTTAAAGGTTCCCTAGTTTAGAGTCATTCTTAAAGAAGTGGTCCTCTAGGAGTTGTTTCTTATTCAGATTGGGATGGATTATCACAGTATTTCCTTTTTTGTGCCTCTTAACTCTTGGCAAAGGCTCCCTAGCCTTGGACTTAGTTCTGTCAATACCTGGGCTGTGAGCTAGTTTCTGCGAGCAAGGAGGGAGTTGGAGTGGCTAAAGAGTGTGAAAAGGAGAGGAAGACTCCTAGAGCAGTGATATTGTAAAACAGAGCCCTTTAAACATAAAATGTGAAGATAGATAAAATTTAAAAAATAAAAAAAAAAAAACCCTCCACTTTCTGACTAAGTGCAAAGGAAATTGCATAGAAAAGAAAACAGACAGCAGGGTATTCAGCCAAATTGTATGGTAAAATCTTTGCGGTCGCCATAAAGTGCGTTTGCTTTGAAGTGCACGCGTGATTCAGTGAAGGGCTCATGTTAGCAATTAGAAATCGGTTATTTGGGTCCCTGATTTCATTTGCGCCAAGAGAGAGGCAACTTTTAAGGGTGACGATAAATCTCCCTGAGCTTAAAAGGCAGAAAGGGCCAAAGTGTGAACTTTTTACTTCAGCAACGGAAGCGGGAAATCAGTGATTCATTAAAGAGGAGACCTCCTTGGAAGCTGGCAGCAGAGGAGGAAAGGACGCTAATTATGTCTTCCTTTTCTGTGCTCGCTCCGATCAGTTTATAATCTGCTGCTCTGGAGGGTTTAAAATCCTCAGCATCTTCTGCTTTCTCCCAGCCCTCTCCTCTTCTGGGAGTGAGAAGGGGGAAAAAGTCAGCCAAGCATCAGGCTCCAGGTGGCTCTCAAGTACTTCACTGCCAAAAGAAATGGGGGTGGGGGGAGGAGATCCTACGCTGGAAAACAAGTGAGAAAGGGGCTCCCCAGAAGGTATTAGTTCAGGCTGGAAGACAGCAAAATTCGGAGAGCTGGAGGATACCGTCAGCGCCGTGGCCCGCGCTGCGAGCAGGACGCTTTAGCAACGAATTTGCCAGAGCTAGAGGCGCCGGCGGCGGCTGCGGCCGCAACAGCAGCTGCGAGGAAGGGACCTGGCAGCCCCCAAGCTGGATGCAAAGGCATCGCGCTCTCTCCTCGCTCCCCTGCTCCCCCACCCCCTTCTCTGCCCCTTTCACCCTCCCTCTCCCTGGCGTTCCCAGCAGCGTAGGGTTTCAGATGTCCCACCGCCGGTTGACCCCCTCCCCCCTCTTCTCCACCCCTGCAAATGAGGTTTGACCAGCAGAGGCAGAGCCCACCTCTGGCTTAGAATCACTGACATTTAGACTCCAGGTTTCAACCTGTTTACAAGCGGACTTTCCAAAGGAAGGGGGTGGGGGATAGGGCCATACAAAACATCAGCCGCCGTCCCCCAAAACAAAAAGTGGCTTTCGGCAGCCTTCAAATCGGCAGGCACCACTAAAAACAGAAGGGAAGAGAGGGAAGAAAACAACGGCGACTGGGTAGCTGCCTGCAGTTCTGACAACTCCAAAGGGATACACTTGTAGAAGCGGCTCGCAGGCTGGGGCTCCGCAGAGAGAGGCCAGAAGGTGCCAACCGCAGAGGGGCGCAAATATCTCCCCCTATTCCCCACCCCACCTCCCTTGGGTTTTGTTCACCGTGCTGTCATCTGTTTTTCAGACCTTTTTGGCATCTAACATGGTGAAGAAAGGAGCAAAGAAGAGAACAAAGTAACTCCTGGGGGAGCGAAGAGCGCTGTGACCAACACCACCACCGCCACCACCAGCTCCTGCTTCTGCGGCCACCCACGTCCACCATTCACCGGGAGGCTCCAGAGGCGCAGGCAGCGGATCCCAGAAAGGAGCGAGGGGAGGCAGCCGGCTTTTCCAAGGAGTTATGGATGTTGGTGCATTCACTTCTGGCCAGATCCGCGCCCAGAGGGAGCTAACCAGCAGCCACCACCTCGAACTCTCTCCTTGCCTTGCACCAGGTCTTACCCTTCCAGTATGTTCCTTCTGATGAGACAATTTCCAGTGCCGAGAGTTTCAGTACAATGTGGAAATGGATACTGACACATTGTGCCTCAGCCTTTCCCCACCTGCCAGGCTGCTGCTGCTGCTGCTTTTTGTTGCTGTTCTTGGTATCTTCCGTCCCTGTCACCTGCCAAGCCCTTGGTCAGGACATGGTGTCACCAGAGACCACCAATTCTTCTTCCTCCTCCTTCTCCTCTCCTTCCAGCGCGGGAAGGCATGTGCGGAGCTACAATCACCTTCAAGGAGATGTCCGCTGGAGAAAGCTATTCTCTTTCACCAAGTACTTTCTCAAGATTGAAAAGAACGGGAAGGTCAGCGGGACCAAGAAGGAGAACTGCCCGTACAGTAAGTAACAAATGCGTGCTCCCCTCCTTCCAATTATCCACCCCCAGCCCACACGGGGGGGAAAAATCTCTTCCAGATGTGGCCAGCTAAATATTTACGTCCCCAACCCCTGTAAAATGATTAAGTGGAATACTTTCACACTAATTCACCACCCGCCCCCCCGCCGCGTGTATACATTGTGCTGCCGCATCCCCTCCCCTAAGCGCGCTCCCTCCACATCCCCCACCCCTTGCAGCCCTATACACCCCTTCCCTCCAGCCTGTCACTCGCCGGACCACGCAGGGCGCTCAAGAGAGTTGTTGCAGTGCAAAGATGCCCCTTTTCTCTCTCCACCGCCCTTCCCATCTCCTCCAAAGAGTTCTCTTTCCTTCCTTCTGGAAATGGCTCAAGTAAACACATTTTGTTTCTTTTCCCTGGAAATCTTGTTAAGAGTTTGGGACAGGCTCCTCAAGCTGAAAATAATCATCCGCTGTCAATTATAGGGGCTTTGTGGGAACTTTATTTAAGAAAGAAAAATCAATTCCACTCTCTCCCCACCCCCATCCCCTCACCCCAGCACCTCTAGATATGAGGGAAAAGCATTTTTCTGGTTTTGATTTTTGTTTTGTTTTGTTTTGCGTCCCTTATGTTAGTTTGAGTGATTGCAGTCCATGAAGTTAGCTTTTCAGGCACCACCGCTGCTATTTGTCTTCTGCCTGCCTTCTCTCTTGGTAACATGATGCTCATGTCTGCATTGTCAATAGCGTATGCACTGCTTCGTGGTGTCCTGTTGTACTGTTTCTTCTGAAACCTCTCATATTGCAGAGCCATACTACTACAGCATTGTAAACATCTGGGGCTGGATTCACACAGACCTCACACAAATTTCATTGTCATTCTTTTATTTTCAAAGTAAAAGTCATAAGTCTGTTTCCATGGCTATAGTTTATCCTACAGTGTGACGTTTTCTCCTCAGTGTAAATTATGCCTGGGATCCCTAGATTTTGTTCTTGCCTTTTCCCTCTCTCTTTCCTTCTTTCTCTCTTTCCCTTATTTCTTTCTTGCAGGGGTGTGGGCTGGTTGAGGGAGAGAGAACTAGAAGAGGAGGGGTGGATATTGTGTCTCTTCTTGAATCAACCCAGCAAAGCCAGATTACTCTGTTGACTTCCTTTCTCAGTTATTTTCAAGTGGTGAGACTTATTCATCCCCTGTTGATTATTATGTGAAAGGAACCCAAGACTTTGTAATGGCACACTGAAAACAGTAGACAATGATGTTTAAACATCTTTAGTGACCATTTGGCATTATCTCAGTGGTAAATTCCAAGTCACCTTTAAAGGAGACATTTTTGTGTTCGTTTTTCAGGAATTCTAAGCATAGATTGTCAGCTAACTTAAATACATGAGTCAAGCATTTAAAGATTCCTTGGTTTAGAAAGTACCAAGTACTAATGGGAATGACAGTTGACCAGAATTTAGCATTTTATTTTTGAATACAAATTTACAATAATTAAGAATTTAGTTTTCTTCTGTGGGGATGCACACACACTCAACATTAACTTCTGTTCCTCCTCAGCCACTGGTTCTATTTACTAAAATTCACAATATGTTTATAAGTAATAAAAATACGTGTAGAAGTGCTTTTAAAGTGTTTCATTTTATGTTTCATACTAGAGATAATTAAGTACTACATTACCTGATTCATAGAAAGTAGCTGAAATAATGTCATAATGATGACAATTATTTTTGCTTAAAAGTCATTTGTTACCTGAATTCATTAGATCCTATGTATATAACCTTTAAGGTTTTTGATTAAAATTTTAAAAACTTTATTTTCTTCTAAAATAAAATAGTTGTGATGTCATTCAGTTAGGAGGATGGGGAAGAAGCTATCCAAACATTGGGCTAGACAGAGTGAGCTGGAAATTTTGAAAAAAGAAATTCCGATGGACTGATTTCTTATTTTTCATGGAGGAAACTCAAAAGAATATGATAAAGTTTCAGAGTGTTATCTTTGAGCAAACTTTTTTCTTTTTAACAAATGTTTGTGCTATACTTTAAAGGTCTTTATAATATGACTTAAGAACAAATCTGCTGTTTTAGTTAACAAAACTTAAATTGCTATTTTCTAGAATCATAATCACGTGTGATTAGTTGCATAGTAAAATGATTTCCACAGTAGAAACTGAATTTCATCTTTACAATAAGAACTACCTGCAAAGAAGAAAAGTATACAATATATATTATATAAAAGTGGTGTAGAAAAGTTCCATCCTAACTGTCCAAAATTTACTAATATTTTATTTTCTGTGTGATAACATATATTATTTGTTATAATGACAAGCTAAATATCTTATATGGTAATGCAATCTTAATCAATGTTTAAAAGTGAAAGGGGAGGGGTTCACTCCACTAAATATTGTCAAATCATAAATAATTTAGGCTTTCCAAGAACATCTGTGTCAAAACATAGCAAGTGAAAATTAGAGATTGAAAAAGCCTTAATTTCACATGTGGCCAGGTAGTCTAAATGCTGCTACAATTTCCAACTGGACTGATTCAGCTGAACTACATGGTAGTAAGATATTGTCTAAATGTTGCATAATAACATGTGAACAAATTTTTGCCATGCCTACAGGGTAGCCAGCCAGCCGTCCACTAAATGGTAGCTTGTTAAATACTAGGATCTCTAACCTCTGAAGAGTGTCAGTTCCCTTTCCATAAACCACATTTCAGTAATATTTGCCTAAACAAGTTATTAATTATTCTCAGTACACAAACCTGTTCTTTTGAGGTTTGCTTATTTGAAGATTAATTTTCTTTGTTACTTTTGACCCTAGTATTATTGCTGCTAAATTGCAGTAACAGCTTATCTAAAAGGTTATATGTTTTTGATGTCCTGGATAATTAAAAAACTGTTTTATTGGCTTTTTGCCAGCAGAATGCTAGCAAAAGGAAAGTAAGACAATCATCCATAAGTGTTGCAAAATCATTTTTAACTTCTACTTTCCAAGCTAGTTCCCAGAAATTAGATGGTTCTAAAAAGACCGCATATACTAACAAAGTTCTTCTCTATATGGGTGATTATTATAATTTTTGAGGGGGGGTGCTATACTTTTTGTTTGCTTCTTTGCCATGATATGAGAGTAGAATAAAGAGAACAGACATGAATTATTTTTCTCCTGCTAGAAGTCTGAGAAAGCTTGAATAATTTAGAATAGCTGTGGTGTATCTGTCACTAGATATGTGTAGGCTCATTGAGGTTTTTGTTTTATCATTCTTTACATCTTGAGCTTTGCCCTTGAAACCTTACCACTCGGCTTTAGTTCTGACCTCTTAGAAAGGCTGGATACAGCTGTTAGGTATCCTTGCAAGTTGGACCAGTTGACTTATTTCTGGATGTGAGTAAAACAGCTGTGAGCTTCTCCCATGGTTGTCATTTGTAGAAAAGCGGGATCTAGTGAAAGGAAAATGTATACCTAAACTTGAGACAATTAAGAATAGATATTCCAAAAAGGGAAAGTCACAAAAAAGGCTCCTGGGCCTTTCTAGGAAAGAAGTATGGAAGGCAATAGAGAAATCAATAGGTAAAGAGTATGCTTTCTCTTTAAATACACACTTCATTCAATAATCATAATAGTCCTATAACTATCAATATTTTTCAAATTTGAAAACTAATACTGAAAAAAGTAAATTGTCCAAGGTCATTCAACTAGAAATGGGCAGAACCAGGATTCAAGCCCCAGCCTATTGGTTATATCTCTCCTTTCTTATTGTACCTTTCTGCTACTTCCAACATTAATATCAATTTATTAGAATTGGACACTTGAGATCTCTAAAAAACAAATTATCCAGATCCTTACCTGCTTCTTGCTGGGAACACCGTTCTCTAGAAATAAATTGGAACAGAAATAAAATGACAATTGCAGAAAAACAAATACATTAAACGTGTCATTGCAGGTGGCCACATGATATCAAACAAGGCTAGTGTATTCACTAGGTAAACTCTCTCTTTTGATATTTGGGAATATAATTGCTTACGGATACATACAAAATACACATACATCAATCTCACTTATGTTAACAGAGGTCATTAGGAATACATGACTATTTAAGAAAAATCCATGAATGTCATTTTATATAGTAATTGTTTATAGCTGAGGGCCAAATGTTTAATTGTTGCCTTGTGTAATAAAATAATTTGATTGTAAATACCTGTGAGAAGTTGGACTGTTGTAGAAACTTCTGATATATGACTCTAAAAAGGGCGACATCTTAGAGACTTAAGCTATACATATTAAGAAAATTTTAAAATAAACCTGCAAATCAAAAGGTACTTTACCATATAAAATGACAGATTATTGTCTGGGATTATTACTTTTTAACCAGGACTAGAGCTTATTGTAGGAAGCTAAATGAAGTGAGAAAAAATAATTGTTGAGGAAAATAGGAACTCAAAAATTATCCCCTAATAATGACACAAGAGTTTTCTGTGAAGAAAAACTATAGACAATTTATGGCTTCCACTGGTATCTTATTTCAGTTGTGGTTGTTTCTAGAATTTGGTTGCATAATTTATAACCGGCAGCATTTAATCATGAGCATTGAGGATTTATGAAGGTGGAAGACACTGTATTTAATGTTTACATGACATTGTCCTGTTACCTTTACTGCATTTCTACCATATGGAACCTCCAATTTGATGGATTTATCATAAATCTATTAAAAATGCACAATTCAAGAGAGTTTCCTCTTCATAAACCTGATTTATAACCACCTACAAGGAGAAATCTAAGGAAACAGTTGTCAGGAATTACATGCCCATATTGGAGCATGAGAATTCAGAGACACCAAATTCTAGGTCTTGGATATTTCAGTAACCTATTACCTAAAGGTGTGAATGACTCTTTAAAAGCAAGTGTTTTCAAAATGATGTTTAGGCACAGAATTTTAACAAAAGAAAAAGAAGTAGAAGAAGCGTGTCTTATAGGATCAAATAAACTCCACTGTCTTCATAGTTTC